GCTGAAACAGCATGGTTTTTCTAATCCTGCTAGAGGTTGCTTCAGTCAACCTTCCCCTTCCTAATTATGAGCTAACCTGCCATTTCATTGTGTGTTGCTGTTAGTATTACAAGTATTTGTGTACAAGTGCAACAATGAATGGGCGCTGACCCCGCAACCGGCCAAGTAAGTGTGACTTTTTCTTAAAATACTTGAAGTAGATCCATTCCTAAATCAAAATTATGGGTTATAATGTTATGCAAGATTATAAACTTTTTCGGCATAACTATGAAATTTCGAATTGTTTCGACATAAGCTTAAAAACTAAGAAGGTGGGCCAATTTTCAAAGCTTCTTATTGTGAGTATTTCTTAGTTTGCTTTTCTTTGTTTGTGATCGAATAGCTTCCAAATTTCGCCACAATGATGCCTATATGCTCGCAAGTAATAAACAATAGCTAGAAGAAAAATTTCTCCACGGGGAAAAATTCAGGTCCGAAAGGGTTAAAACTAGTGCTGAAATTTTTACCGGCGCACTTTCACCTTCGCAATCTATAATCTACATTTTGGGACTAAAACAAGGTACAAAAAATTACTCAATCTTACCCTGTCCGCTCTGCTACCTATAGAAAGGAAGACAATGATGCTCACGAAACACTCGTCAGAGAACTAAAACCGCTATGATCGTCACAAACTCAAATATTTTCAATGAATCTTCTGAAAACCTAACAAACCATCCGTGGAGAACATCGACGAGAAACGTTCGTTCATGTTTGCTCAACGCTGTTCACTGAGGCCTTTGAAGTCTTTTCGCCCACATAAGTGATGCATATGAACGCACGGCTACTGCTGGTCATAGGCTTCAGTCGAAAGCTTGTCTATCAATATCCTGCAACCTCAAGTGCACTTTCCGAAATCCAGGCATGAAAGCTGCTAGGTGACGAAACTTACCGCTTTTTTTTCAATGAGCAATAGCCGCTAACAATTGCAAGATTTGTCAATTTTGAGGAGCTTTCATTTTTAAAATCTTCGGTATTCTACTCTACAAGCATTGTCGTCACTGACACATTTCTTTTCCTACCACATTTTCTCGACTACGTAATTGCTACATTCCGCCTACCTAGTTCCCTACGTGATTCTAAAGGCAGAGGCTGTGTAACTTACCGCGGACATAGTCCGGGACTCTCACGGATCACATCACGTTCCTGGCAATTCTCACTCAATGGAAATAGAGTGCATAGCGCATCCCAAAAAAATTGAGTGACGCTTTAAGGGTCATTTTGTGCCATATTTTGATTGGGCAATATTGTTTGGCGATTATGGCCACAAGTGACAAAACAGGATGGAGCCCCAAGTGGCAAAACAGGATGTCATCACAAGTGTGGGCAAAAACCCTCAGGAGTGGAGCTTCACACAGCTGCCATCAGTCTTTTAAAAAACGTATATGTAGCTGCACATAGCACACATTTCTTTTTGGAAGAGATGTTGTCTTACACTTTCCTGCGACACCGTCGGATCGACGCTTGTTAAGGTCAATTTAACCCTTGAATATTTGAAAACCGAAAATTTGTGCCGACGCTAATTCAATTGCTATAACGATATATTTACGTAGACCAACTCGGAGCTCAGTAATTGAACCAGTTTTGCTACTGAATTAAGCAATTTCTGAGTTAAATTCAATAACTCTAAGCAACTTCTCTTTAGCAATCTCCTGGTTCAATTAATTTAATTTTTAGATCCTATGCATGGTTCTCCACCTTCTTTTCCACAAATTATACTATTTACTCCGAATCACCCATCCACATGCTACCGCGACTTATCATATCATATGAGATGGTATCACATCATATAATTAACCAGCAACCCTGAAGTGAACTATTCCATACCAATAGCTCCACCATCTGCGACCTTTAATATCTTATATAAAGCATAAAGGATAAAGCATTTGCCGTTGATCAATCCCTTTTGGGATGCGGCACGCATTCTACTTCCATTTGTACATTCGCAGTGGCATTTGAATGCGATGTGGCCTATACAATGACTTGCGGGGGCCAGCCGATGTTCAAGTCAGTGTTTTTATCCTCCCAGACAAGTCTGGTACCAATTAACCGACCCCGGAGGGATGGAAGGCTTGGTTGGCCCGGGCGACTCACGACCCAGGATTTGATCCCCGGACCGCTCGCGTGGTGAGCGCGCCACTTGTCACTACACCACTTCCGCCCCTCTCATATCCCATATCACGTTTCAAATATTATCACAAATTATCATCGTCTACCAGACGACATCACTACATATCACTTCCCAGCGATCTTGAAATTGAATTTCTTCACACGGCTTGGTCCACCTCATCGGCATCCAATCGTTACAAATCATCCATCCTTATCGGAGCATTCAGCAACTAGTCTACAATCGCCGAACATTTTATTTTTAGAATGACGGCTGTGTCACCCGTTTCGACACACAGCTACCACTGGCGTTCGGAATCACGTCAGACGCAGCAGGGTGGTGACCAACGTAAGTTTCCATGGATTCTTCGTTTTTTAGTTTTGTCTCAAACCTCATGGTGGAGCATCTAGCGGTATTAAGCAGCCAATTGAACGAAGTATGCAAAAGTATATTAAAAGAGATGGATCTGAGGAGTTATACATATAATAGTTATAGCACAATCAAGACAAGAACCGAACAGGAGTTCTTCTGGCTGCTGTGACCTGGTCACCACAGCACCAATGCTAAACAATCAACCAAGATTTCTACTGTTGAGGTGGCCTAAAGGCACGGGTCAAATAAAATTAATCCTTAGGGGAACTCTTCCCTTGAGTGTGGCAGCAGGAGCCCTAAGGAGCAGTGGTACTGTAGCCACTTGAAAGCGTTTGACGAGGGAGTTACTAAAATTGCTCGACTGCCTCACACACGCTGCTATCTCTATCAATTTATAGCGTGAGAGTAGCGCTCGCTCTCTTGTGCGACGCAATCTAACGCGGCATTGTTAACTCCCGCGTCGATGCGCTGTGTCGCTCGTTTACTGATTTCGCCTTTCAACGAAAAAATTATTTGACTTGTTTTGTTTGTTAACTGCTGTTTTAACGCCGCAGTTCGCGTTGCGAATGTTTCACAAGAATGCTGGGTTGTGAACAAAACTTTCGCCCCAGGCGGGACTAGAACCCGCACCTCTCGCTTTCCGGGCAAGTGCGCTACCAGTTACGCTACCGGGGCACCATTTCATTCCAACTCAGCTTTTCATGGTCAACACGTTAGACGTGTGAGTGCTGAAAGCTATGGTACGTATACCATGAAAAGCTGAGTTGGAATGAAATGGTGCCCCGGTAGCGTAACTGGTAGCGCACTTGCCCGGAAAGCGAGAGGTGCGGGTTCTAGTCCCGCCTGGGGCGAAAGTTTTGTTCACAACCCAGCATTCTTGTGAAGCTATGGCTTTTTCCCAAGTAGTGTTACTTCGTTCTATTGGAGGTTCGAACAAAATAACACAATGGGGGGTTGGCGACCCGTGCCTTGAACAGGACACTCGAGTTCTTGCTTGGGATAGCAAGAAGCAAAAACACGTTGCACATAAACTGCAACGGCAGAAAGAAGAGTGCGAGTAGCAGATAGCTGCGCGTTCCCGATGCCTAACCTCCTCACTAGAAGTCAAGCGTATTTGTCAGGGTGGGTCATGGGGGGTCGTACTCATGGGAGTGAGTAACGTCAGTGGCATCGCGGCGTGGATAGGAGGGAGAGGGTGGGTGGAGAGGGCAGAAACAATAAGGGTGTGCGGAAACATGATATAAAATATCTCTTTGCAGTTTAGTCGCTCCGTCCCTCTACCTTCGAGAAGGAAGTATTTGAAAGTACTACAAAGAATGAAAGTGCATCTTTGCAAGGAACAGGGTCACATGTGCACACGCGCTGCGAAGGCATTTCCTCTATCTACCGCCCGCTCCCTCGCCCTCAATACCTCGTTGAGAATGACACTGTTGTTAGGGACGCTGTCGCAAAAACGGCAAGAGTTCTGGAAAGACCCTGGGCAAATGAAGCTGTTCCTTAGGTTACAGGAGTTACGAAATGTGTTTACTACAATACAGTTTCTGTCAACAGGTCATCATCATATGTGTAACACCTTTCAATAGATTCTACAACTTGAGTGGAGGTCGGATGCATGGCCTATACGAGATCGGACGATGACGATTGCCCCTTTTCTTGTCGCTTACGTTGGGAGAATTTATTTCTAGACACATTTCGAGCGTTGCCAACGAATTACACTTGCAATGGTGAAGAAGGGAGCGGCTTTTTAGGTGGCCGAGATCCATCCTCGATAGATCCTCGACGCAAATATCTCCTCAACTAGAAAATGTAGAAGAAAGCTAAACAGACTGTTAGAAAGCGCAAACCTTTCCGCTTTCCAAAACTATCTTCCTTTTTCCAAGATCTTACGAAATTAGAGAGATATTGCCTTTTAAGTGGCAAAAACTCGCATGAAAATTTCAGCATCCTCGACGCTCCCTCGACAAATTTGAGAGACCCTATCTCTTCGAGTGTAAAGCTTTCAGATCAATTTCAATATTGCCCGGTAGTAGCAAATCCAGCTCTATCTAACCCTACCACATACTGCTCCAAAGGTTATGAAATGGGGGAATGGAACCTTTTCATCGAGAGTGTAGATTTCGACGGTTTCGAGCGGGGTTTCGGCAAATCTGACCCACGGATAAACCGCGCTGCAACTGAATGCTTTGCTGTACATTGATGGAACTCGCTTATTCACATCAAATCAAAGTTAGAGGGGTCGTATCAAGATCCCGATCTGAGGGGGGGTCGTACTGATCTGACCACGTCCTCGACACGATTTTCACCCTGGTTCTGAATTCACCCAGGAGCCGAGGCGGTAG